TTCTTAGTTCGACTGGATGTTAAGCAATCTTAATGACTGAATTAATTTGTTCAGTGAATTGGATCTGACTCTTCATGTTGGCACATGATTCTGACAAAAGCTCTCCTTCCAACTGTTAGGAAATCAGCATCTCTATGGAAGGTCAGATGAGGTACTCGATTGTCTGTGGCTTTGTTGATTGTGCCCTTGGACAGGCAAAGCACATCTGGCTTAAGATGTAGTGGGCTCTGCCCACTTCCAACTCAGTGACCTTGAGCAAGTTCCCTAATTTTTATGAATCTCGGTTTTCAAATTTGATCAATGGATATAAAAATAGCATTTTATTTTGCATTTGCTATGAACATTAAATAGGAAAATGGATATAAAGTGTGTAATATAATTCTCTGTGCAGAGTAGATACTCAGTAGCTGGTAGCAATTAAGAACTACATTTTTATAAGTGAACGTGCTCACAAGGACTTTGTCATTATCTAACTTTGGTGTTCTTAACAGTTATGTAGGAGTAATACTAGTTTCTACAGCATATTGCTGTTGTGTTTAAATATTGCTCAGTGGCTGGCAAATTGTAAGAGCTCAATAAATGTTAACTATTATTTATAGTTACTAAAATTGTTATCTTTGGACATCTGGATAATATCACATGGTGTATTGGGGTTAAAATTATATATATACAGGGGTAGATTGGAGAGTTAATGAAAAACAATGTCTTAGAACTAAAAGAGACTTAAGTTCTAGTCTTTTTTCTGGCATCATGTCTCTCATGCTATTTAACATTGTTGAACCACAGCATGGCAGCCACTATTGCTGGCCCACATATGTCCTCTCAGAACTTTCTACTGTGTACATGGTGACCTTATATCCCCCAACTGCTAGCACCTGCAATGCTGCCCAAAGCTTTCTCAGTCTCTATAGCCCATGCTCAGGGTGGTCTGAAAGTGCTGGGGAATTATTGCTCTCCCAAAGCAGCCCTCACATAATGACTGAAGGGAGTGAGCAGATAAATACCACAGCTGCTTTGGCCCCTGGTTAAGCTCACTGTGCACAGGGTTCCACACTGTCTCATGTTCTCTGGTGGGATTGAGCTCGTTACCCACAGCTGTAACCTTCTCTATAATGCAAGATTTATTGGCTTCCCTTCCTTCTTTGGTTCACTTGGCCAGCCCCCTACTTGTACTTGAATTCTCATCTCAGGGCCTGCTTCTGGGGGAGCTCAGTTTAGGACACTCACTTGCAAATAGGGACAATGGCATCAGCCTTTTCACTGGACTGTTGAGAGGATCAAAGGAAATCACAGGTGTTGTGATGTTTGGACAGCACACAATACTCTCTATAAGTAAAGACTTCTTCCAGTATTTAGCATTTCCCCACACCAATATTTAAGACCCAAGAACCAGCCTGAACTGTTGCTGAACATTAATGGGGCCCCCATCCTAATTCAGGCTGCCATGTTCTCATCCCAGGGTTTCTGGCATCTGGTACTGTGCTCATCCTTCTCCAACCCTATTGCTCTCCTTTATGCCATACTATCTTATTTCCTCCTTTGAATTTATCACTATTTGAATTTATTATTATTTTAAATATGTATGTATCCTGTTTGCCCAACAGTGGGCTGTAAATTCCACAGGCATAGAGATAACGTTTATTTTCTTCTAATCTATCTCCTCAGCACCCAGAGCAGAGCTTGTCACATGGTAGGAGCTCAGGAAATTGCTGCTGAATGAGTTGATGAATTAATTAGTCCATTTTCAGCATCCCCATTTACAGGAAGTTGCAAAAATAGTACATAGAGTCCCAGGCACCCTCTCTCCAGCTTCCCCAGTGTTGACATCTTATATAACTGTAGTACAATATCAAAGCCAGGAAACTGGTAGAGGGATCTTTTCTAAGTGGAAACTGAATCTATCATTGCACTGTTTACCTGCCCAGTGGCTTCTGACTTCACTTAGAATAAAATCTGTTTCCCATGTCATCCAAGGCCCCTCTTAATCTGGCTCTTACAAACTCTGCAGCCTCAACTCCTGACCCCCCCTTTTCATGCCCCAGCCCTACTAGCTTTTTTCTTGTCAGCCCCTCAAAGGCCCTGGGTGGGCTCCTGCTGTAGGTCCATGGATGAGCCCTCCCTTTGCCTGATATGTTCTCCCCAGAACTGCCTCCTTCCTATTCTTCATGTCTCAGTTTAAATGCCACCTCCTCATAGAGGCTTCCATTGATCACCCTATTTTACTCCTCCCCACCCTTGTCCTTTCCCTTACAGCATTAATCAAAATTTATTCTTACATACCTGGTTTGTTTTCTTGTCTATTATTTGAATCTTCCAATCTTGAGTGTGAGCTCCAGAGATGCCAGGGGCTGTATTTTGCTCACCTCAGTACAATGAGAAGTTTGACATATAACAACTCAGCGTGGAATAGATTTGTGCCTCGACATTCAATAGCCATCTAACCATATAGAGAGAGGGCTGTATGGTTCACTAGCCTTTTCTACACATGACCAGGTCAGTTCTTGTCACCATCCCATGAGGTCAGATAATCTCCAGCCCTGTGCTACAGACTAAGTGATGATAGTAATGTTCATTGATCTCTGCAGTAGGTGATTTGATGCCTTATGTTGCTTTTTCTTGACCGGCCTCTAATTTCAGCCACTGCTTGAAGAATAGTTCCAGCTCATGTTGACAGTGACTGCTCCCCCTTCTCATGCATGCCCCTTTCAGGGCTCCCTCTTTATCCTTGCTCAAGGCCACTGTCCCCAGGAATAGGGAGGGAAGGGTGGTGATAGGATTCACAACAATCTCCTTTCCCTCAGCCTACTGCCTGATAGATGTTCAGACTCAAGGCTTAGTTCTCTGAAATCCAAGCAGTCTGTTCAGTCTATAGGCAGGTGCAACCTGGAAATGTGGGAAAGTTACTACTCCTGTGGGCAACTCTCAACTGATAAGGGCTTAGGGTGAGTAGATAAATATTCCAGCTCTTGTCCCTTGAGGAAAATTTGCTGGAACCATTCTGAGCAATACTCAGAGATCCTGATGGAACTGAGCCCTCACTGTTTTCACCAGCAATATCACAAACATACCCCTTTCCCCCCTTCCCTGTCTCATTCTTCCCTGCCCTCACTCCTGTCTCCAGGAATTGCCACCTAAACAAACCTCTTGCATCCAATCCTTGTCTCAGGCTCTGCTTTCAGGGAAACCCAAACCCAGATAGTACCTACTGTGTGCCAGAAGCTAACACCTTTACATGGCTTAACTTTTTCATCCTGCCATCAACCCCCTGAGGCAGATATTGCTGTTTTCCCCATTGTAGAGATGGGGCAACTGAGTGAAGGAGAAGTTAAGTATCTTGCCTAAGGCATTTATTGACTTGCCCATGTCTCCAGTGGGTAAAGGTGGTCCCTAGAGTGGTAACTCCCCTGTATTTCCAGGCTGCACTTGCCTGTGCACTGTGGCTTCAGAAAAGTCCCAGGGCTTTGGAGATGGCATTGAGGAAGAAAAAGGAGAGTCAGGTACACAGCAGTGCAGGGATTCTTATCCAGGTGTCTGATCTCAGAGCCTGTCCTTTTTGCTTGTATACGTTACCTCCTCTCAAGGCAATGAAGGCTCTGGAAGGCAAAGTCACACCCTGAAACACAGCTAGTGAACAGTGAAGTTGAGATTCTAAATGAGGTCTGTTGGACATGTAGAACCAGGCTCACCTGCTACACTGATTAATCCTTTTTTTTTTGTCCTTTTTGAGACCAGCCACACCGCGCTCAGCCAGTGAGTGCTGTGAGCGCACCGGTCATCCCTATATAGGATCAGAACCTGCGGCGGGAGCAACGCTGCGCTCCCAGCGCCACACTCTCCCGAGTGTGCCACGGGCTCGGCCCTTAATCCTTATTTTTAAAAGGCCAGATCTACTGGTCTTTTCTTGAAACCAGAGGAATATAACCAGTTTAGTGAAATCTCCATTGGATTATAGCAGCTCTTTATTGCAAATCTGCAGTGGACTGTGGAAGTATGTATCCATCTCAACCAGGCCAGGTAGTGTTTTCCACTTATCAGAGCCCCAATGTGCTTTGGAACTGCTAATGCTGGTAAAAATCACTGCTGATTATGAGGATTCCTTTGCTTTGGCGAGCTCACGACAGTTTATGTATGAAGCAGAGGCCACTTTCTCCTCCTGGACAGTGCTGAAGGAAGCAGTCAAATCCAGCCACTATCCCAGGAAATGATGGGGGTGGGGGTGGGGGCAGAGCTTGTGCTAGTTCCCCTCCTCCCACTCCCAGCCCACTGCCTAAGAGATGTTAGGCGCTAAGGCTTATTTCCTTACCCTCAGGATATCCTTCCCCAATCTACTCTCTACCCTGCAGCCACTGAGGTCCTCTCAAAATGCTAATCTCATTGTGTCCCTCCTCTGCTTAAACATCCATTAGTGCTTCCCTTAGCATTTTTAGAATGAACACGGAACTCCTGATTATGGCCTCTAAGCAGGTTTCACCCATGCTCCCATCAGCAGCCGCACCTCCCGAAAAGACCCCTTGTTCATTACCCTCTGTCTACACATCTATCCTGCCTCCTACCATCAGAGAGCTTTGCCAGACTCTTCTCTGCTTGGGACATGCTTTTCCCTCCCACCCTGTTCTTGTTAAACTCTGGGCAGTCTTCAGATCTGAAGCTCCTCGACTTCTCCTTAACTAGCTCACATCTTTCTGATAGGTATTCTTGTGGAGTCCTGAGCCTCTCTTTGTTGCTCACAGTATAACTGGGGTGTGATTATTTTAATATCTCTCTCCCCTAATAGTATAAGCTTCCCAACATAGGGCCTGTTTCCACTTTCACTCACTATCGTATCCCCAGTGACTTGCGGAGTGATGGGTGCATACGAGGGCCAAATGAATGAAAAAGCACGCTGGGCTCATGGAGCAAGGACAGGGTGAATGATTGGAAACTCTGTGCATTTAACCTTTGTTCTTCCATGGTTAAAACGAGCCTGGTTCTATGGCAGTAATTCTCCACTGGCCAGCCAGCATTGTATGCAATAACTTTATTAAGCTCAAATAGCTATCACAATACAGATTTATCCAACAGGATCCAGAAACTGGCTACAGATATCATTTAAGACACAAGGCTGTTTTGTGCTAAAGTGCTTCCAACATCACAGATCACACAAAGAGTTTATACATTGACAATGACTTTTATCTGGAAATACAGATACTCAGCTCGCCCTCACTGTCGGGCCTTGGTGTTTTAATTGAGTTAAAACAAAGAGGCAAAGATTGGCATTTTCTTGATAATGAGTACGTTCTGGGGAATATTTTATGAGAACCCTCTCTGGGATATAGAGTGGCACGTGGAAGCCATTTTTAATTTATGGGTTACACTGAAATCAGAATTAGTAAATTGAGCTGTGACTCGAGAATTTTTAATAGTTGGATTGAGGAATGTATTAGCTTGACAAAGGAATAAGGTTTAAAAGTTTATCTGGGAGTGTATATTCTACAGAATACCCTTTATAAATTAATACTTCATCATGGTGGCTGAAGATAAGATACTGTGAACATAAGATACTATGGTATCTATATCTGCATTTCCATTATTTTAAGAAAACAGTACTCTATAGACACAAACAGTTATTGGGCCTTATTATTCATGGTCCACAGGAAAGAGCCACAAAACACCACAGAAAGTTACAAGAATGTAAGTATTCAGCTAAGTAAATAGAATAAATATTGGGCAGTTATCATATGCAACGCTGAATGTCTACTAATAGAGGAAACAAACCCAAACCTTAGTTACAATGCATTCAGAATGTGGGTAAACCCAGAGAGACAAACTTGCAAAGTATACAGAGTAGTGAATATATTTCTTTAAACGTCCATTTAACAAATTCATGGTGAAAACTGGAAAATTTTCATAAATACAGTTCATTGTGTGTGAAAATGCTTATTCATGCAATAAATCATATAAGCATTGATTCATCAAGTAAAAAAACCCAAAAAGCAACAGAATAATTGTCTAAAACAAATACTTAGAGATTCACAGTCCTATAGGGCCTAAAACTAAAAAATATACATGCATGTTGTGATACACCGAGTTATTTTCTAGAAATCATTAAAATATCTTTTGCATCAAAATGCATAGGAAAACTCAATGCTATTTAATTTAATTTATGCATATTAATACTAGAGACTTTAAGCTACAAAATGCTTCTACTATCTCAACACACATACAAAACGACCATAAAAGTATCTGTGTATATAATAAGGTACTCTCTAATTAGCCATCTATGATGCATAATATAGCTCCTCATGTCATCTCATCTCTAAAAACAACTTATCATGATCCAGGCCTTTCTGCCTTACTGAGGACTACAAATCTCTGATTTACATTCAATACTCTCTGCATTAGTAATTGGTTGAAACATTAAAAATTCTTCTGCCACTGAAATGGAAGGTGGTGAGGCTGTCTCCAGAAGAATGTAAATGCTACTCTGTTAAATTTGATTGGTAAAGGAAGTGGGGCCACTAGGCTGTTGGCCTTGGCCAAACTCATCTGAAGATGGCCCTAAACTTGCCTGTTGGCTATACCCACTGCTTGACCCATAGCTGTCTTGGTTGTAACCACTTTGATTATAGCTGCTAGAATGCTTCTCCATTGGGTCTGAAAGATATCTCTGTCCCGAGGAATGCCAGCCGGTCTCCTTGAAAACAAACCATATGTTTCCAGCCCAGAGGATAAAGTTCAAGAATCCGAAGACCTGAAAGTGAATCAAAGCAAATGAATTGATAGACTAGACAGAAACCCAAGAAAAATCTCAGTTTCAGAAGAATCCTTCACAGTATGAAAGATCACTTTTTACTTCAATGTTGAGTCCTCTTCTAATTTTTCATTTGGAACCACTATTTCATTTAGAATATCTGACCTCATTAGATGTTTACTACATGTTAGGCACTGCACAAAGAACTTTATGTGTATCAATTTACTTAGTCTAAGAATCAGTCTGAGAGGAAGGTGCTATTACTTTACCCATATTAAAAATGTGAAGATCTTGTCTGAGGTCCCATGACTTGGTAAGTAGTGGATCTGAGTTTCTAACACTGTTCTGTCTGACTCTATAGACAGAATCCTTACCTAAGCCATCATTATCTCCCCAAATGAAGTATCCCTCATGGTGTGTAAGATTATCTTCAGGTGATACAGGTTTAAGTATGTTCAATTTAGTAATGGTGAATTAATTTATAAGGTTACCTTCTCTTTATGGCTAGAGATATTGCTTTTCCATGTATTGTAGCCATACAAAGAAAATGAGTCAATTTAAAGAAAAACATATGGAATAAGCAATGGTACAGGTGGTGTACAGATGAATGCATGCATGACAGTACACACAGAGGTTGACTCCGTGAGTAGTTAATGCTTTTTGTGCCTCACATTCAGAAGTGAACACCGAAATCAGATTATGAATGAAGTGCAGGTTTCAGAGAGGGTATAAAATATTTTCTCAAGAACTGAATGTGAGACTTTTCTATGGAAATTCCTGTTATTCTCTGGAAGAGTGCCAGTGAGTCAGAGGACCAGGCATTGTTTCCCCAGGTCTAAGTGTTTGATGGAAGCAGAGGCCCAAGCAAGAGTCCTCATTACATAGCTTGTTCTGCAGCCTTTTCCAAGGCTGGTTGTTTGACTTGGGAATTAACCACAGGCAGTTTGTTTAACAGCCCCCTGTTGGAGATAGATAACAATAGCATGATACAAAGCTAGGATAACACTGAATATATTTAGTCATCACTCCAGCACACTACCAATCAAAATGGACTTGGGCCGTGGCCATAGCTCTGCAGTGGGGTGCTGGGAGTCCCTTCCTGAGTCAAAATTATCCCTTGGTTTCTGTAAGGTGGGGTGGCCCACAGTACTCTGTGTATGTCAGGGTGTTATGTAGGTACTGGTATAGTCAAAATGAGGAGTCTTGAGGTCTTGACTATAGGCAGGGACTATTTATCAAAGTATGTCAATATAGTTTAGCAGCAGGTGGATCAGAACACACCAAGTATCAGTCTTAGAGTAATCCCCATGGACTTTGGAATCAGAGTGGCCTGGGCTCTGCACTTCCTTGCTCTATGACTTTGGACAAAGCATTTAATCTTTAGACCTCAGTTTTTGTTTTTTTTAAAATATGAAATGAAGACAATAATTCCTTCTTTGGAGGATAGTTGGATTAAAGAAGATGTGTGTAAAGTAGATAGATAATGCTGGACACATAAGTAAATACTTACTTAATGGTCAACTACGCTCTGAATCACTTTCTGAAGTATTTCTGTGAATTGTATTCCTTTGAGTCTTCACTGCAGCATAAACTGAAGTGGGGCTTTGATAGGGAGGGAATGTTCTTGAGAGATGACAGTAGCCAAAACAGAGTAACTAGATTCTCACTTTATCTAATTGAAGACTGATTTATCCCTCCCTCCCTTCCTCTTCCTTCTCTCCTATTCCAGCCTTTTTCCTTCTTAAAGCATTAGTTGAGAACGTATTTTGTGCCAGGCTCTAGGTTACTTGCCAAGAGAGATACAAAACCCAAATAAGGTGTAGTAGTTGCTTATCAAAATGAATTAGGTAATCACTGACAAAATTCTAATTTATATACAGCACCTTTTAACCATGTGTACAGTACCTAGGATATTTTCCATTAAAGGAGAGATCTTGATGAAATTGTACCTCTGTAAGTTATGTCAGTACATGAGTAGAAAAATCATCAAGGGATCATTTCAGATATGAAGAGATAGCTCTGTACAAGGCTGTAATTTTATCTGTTACCTATCTCTGGATGTCTCCCTTTTCCCTGCTGCAACTCTGTTTTATAAAAAGGGATGCACAAGAAAAACCTAGAAATCAGGAAAATACAACTTAAGAGTAAGAACATAAACAAGGCATTTCCATGGGCATATTCAAGGCGCACTGATTTCTTTACTGTTCTCACAGAGGTATCCCCGGTCTCTTGGATGGCACATTTTAAGGGCACATGGACTCCTGAATTTTTTCTTGATTTTTCGTTGCAACTGAAATTGGGGTAAAAATTTTTAACTTGAGCTCAGATGTGGGAACAACAGAAAGAGAGATTGGAAGTCTGCACACAGCATGAGAAAGAAAGAGAAGATGAAATCTAGATTATGCAAAAAGATGTGTCAAGATTGCCTGGAGCAAAGCTGGAGAGGCAAAAGTAGAAATTATGGATAAAATAGTTATGCTCAGAGAGCCTTTGAAAGTAAAATTGAAAGATTAAAAAAATCTCCCCCCCCCCCATCCTGGGTTCTAAGGCTATACGACATTTAAGAAAATAAATTCATTTTAGTAGCTGCTTTCAGTTAACACCTATTTAGCATTTTCCAAATTCTGTTCATCGTGGGTTTTCATAGATTATCTCACGAATTCTTTCAGCACTCTTGAGGTGTGTTCTATTGCTATCCCTATGTTACAGATGATGAAACTAGGGTTTAGAGAGCATAATTAAATTGTCGCAGGGCAGTCAATCATTGAGTAGTGGAGGTGGGACTCAAATTCTGGCAGACTAACTCCAGAACTGTGCCCTTAGCCATTTTGAGTGGGAACAGCTTTAGAAGAGTTTGGCTGTGGTTCTGGCATTGCTCTAACTACTTGGGAAACCTTACATAAGTCCGTGAATCTCAATGCCCTGCATTTGTATTATCTAGCTAGCTCACCTACCTCTTAGTGTTATTGAGAAATTATAGATACCAAAGTGCTTTAAAGAAAGTAAATTTGTACAAAACTATGCTATCTACCCTAAGTGAATCATTGTGCAGTATATGCATGCATTGAAATAACACACTGTACCTCATAAATATATACAAGCAAATGTTAAAATAAAAACATAAACAATTAAAAAATAAAAAGAAAGTAAATTTGTTACTGAGGGAGAAAATGTGACTATCATTTCCTGATCCATTTACTTGTAGAGGTCACCTGTTGTGGTATGTGTCTAGCTCCTTCTCCAAAACCTACGTTTTCCTGGTAGGGTGGGTTCTGTGAGCCGTGTTTCTACTGCATGATTTGCCAAACCCCTCATCCATAACTGATGAGACTGAGGTGAACACGTGGCCTGAGGTGGGCTAGTGAGATTCTCTCTATCAGAAATTTGGAATTAGACTTGGGTGATTTTAGTTCAGTCCAAGTTGTTCCTTTGAAAAGAAATATGAAGTTAAAAACTGTAGGATGGCTATCTTCTGTTGTGTGTACAGGAAAATGAGATAAAATTCTACCTGAAATGAGAGAAAATGTAACAGGTATGCAGGAAGAGACAGAGATGAGAGATGAAGAATGAGAACTTCCCAGTTTCCTGATGGTCTTCCATTTTCTGGTCCTAGGTTCTGTCCTAGGAAGACACATTTCTAGTGTATTTCAAATTATTTCCAGTTTTTGTATAAGCTAGCTTAATATGATTTGAAGCCACACAAGTTTGTAATGAAAAAACAAAAGTTCTGTTTTGGTTGATTAATATCCTTTCCCCCGCTCCTGTTGATAGAAACCTGATTTCCTTTGCAGAGCCAAGTTGTAATTAAATGGCTCATACTCTCTTCTGGAACTTTGTGTCTTGAGCAAAGTAAGGCAAGGTTAGGTGAAACCTTCCACTAATGGCAACTTGAGAGTGTTCTTTGGCATCTGACACCTAGAACCCTGGTTCTGCTCTGAATTCTGCCCTTTCTAGTGCTGATTTCTTCAGGTCTCATCAGTTTTATGAGCTACTTGATATCCTTCCAAAGACTTTTTTTCCTGGTGAAGTTAGAGTCAGTTTCTGTTACATGCAACCCAAATATTCCAATGCACACAGACATTGGCCCCAGAAAGGGGAGCAAATAATAGACTTTAGGGATATGTGGACTGTTTTGCTTTCATCAGTTTGAATTGAGTTTTCTGTTGCTAGAAACTGTAAGACTCTTAACTGATAATGTATACATAACTATAACATCACTAGACCTGTCCTGCCACATACTTCACATTATTTGGTTTCAATTTGTTCCTTTTTTGGTTTTAGGAGACACATCAGATTATTTTCCATTCATAATTCCTATGTTCTAGTCTAAAAACTATTAGAGACATTTGAAGTGGAATGAAAAGGACAATGCAAGATGTCATAATTTATTGGGAAATTGATCAATAAACTGACAAGCCTATTAAACAATTTTATCTTTGTCCTCTTAAATTTTAAGGTCAGGGTTACAATAACTTTTATTAAATACTACCTACAAACAAACTACAGAAGCTTAACTATGTATGTTAATGTACACCTTAAACTATTGATCCACAGGTGTGACCAGCAATAAATAAAATAATTGTGAGACTTTAATACATACTTTATTTCCATAGTTACTATCTCACCAAGGCAGGATTCACAGTCAAATGATCAGGAGCAGAGTAGAAACCCCTTTTCCCTTCTTAAGTGCCTTCCCAGATGGAATTTTAGAAAGCTATAGAAACACAGGTTAACTTTGAAGCAAAGATAATTATTTTTAGTGTTTGCTGAAGGAACGTTGTTCCTTCAGCAAACACTACTGAGCCTTCTATTCTTTGATACCTGCTTTTTTTGAAGCCTTTATAGCTTGTCTTTCTCAGACACAGCTTCTTTCTTTGGAATAACACAAGTTCTTACTCTTATAAATTAAGAATCCAATTTAGCATTCCTGCTACTGTCAGATTTTCTTTCTTCCTGTAAGAGTCATGCACTCGATGATAATATTTGACATTGTTCAACTAACGTCGTGCAGCTTTCTCAAAGTCATCAAGCAACAAAACTGGGAGCATGTAAAGATTAAAAAAAAATTGCCATGACTATTATAAGTACTTTTTTATACCATGTATTTCTTTTTGCACCCTATTAGGACTGTGTATTTTTCTCCAACCAATTGGGTGTATTCTAACTACGTGTGGCTTGAATGATGTTTTCTTCCCAGGAAACTTTTGTGCTGTCAAATATTCCTTTTAACTTCTGGCAGGTTTCAGCCTTAAAGCTCATATTTTTATCTGATTCTGGCTTAGAATTTTAACTTGACTGTCATCTAAGCAGCATCTGCTAATACCTGCTGGGTTCTTATTAAGAACTCTGTAATTGGCAGCATTTAAGTCTATGGATTCTGACAACAAAACACTTGAAGGCCAAAGGATCATCTGACACCTGGAGTGAAATATTACCTTTTTGATTGGCCTAGTTTTGGAGTTAGGAATTTCCAGGATGACTTCTGAGATGTTGTCTCATTCATTTGGCTGGCAAATAAACATTCGGGAGGTAAAGCATCGATGAAAGCATACTTACCACAGAAGTGTTTAAGCTGGACATAACAGGGCTGTGCACGGCCATGCATTTGTTGGATGTTTGCTTACAAGCTGACATCAGTGACAACACTTCTTGGGGATCTGTTGCAACCTTAACATCAGACAGTCCTTTCGCCCAAGCTGATGAACCCACCAACCACAGGAACGAAAAGACTACAGTGACAATGAAGTCCTACAGAAACAAGCATAAAGACAAAACAGTAAAAGAAAATATGAGCTCTGGAAACAAATAGATTAGTTTATACAGGTATTTGGTTTGCCTTTTGGAATATTCCAAGATCCCATGGCACTGGAACCAGGAAAAACATGTTGAAAACAAACAAAAGAAAGTTTTGTGATATTATATTTGTATTTCAACAAAATAAATAATAATAGTGATATTTATGAAATACTTACTATGTCCCAAGAATGATACTAAGGTCTTTATAACCCCTGTCATATTGTTCCTACAATATCCCTGTAAGAAATCTACTATTATCATCATATTTGCAGATAACAAACTAAGAAAGAGAATCGTTAAGCAGCTTGTCTGAGACTCCACAGATAATCAGTAATGGCATAAGAATTTAAACCCAGGCAAACTGACTAATCTCAGTCCAAGCTCTTAACCATTATATTGTCATGATTTCAAACATTGAGAGAGTTGCCAATCGTTAAAATTTCCTGGATGGCAATATTCACTCATTCATCCACTTGTTCATTGAACAAACTTATGCTTTATATATTTTGTGCCTGGAACTGTGTTAAGTGAGAGACAATAATAGCCGTAATGTTTTGAGTGCCAACTATGGGTGAGAGGTCTTAATGTCCATTTTAAAGATGAGGAAACTGAGGCCCACAGGTATAAGGTAACACATAGAAAGTAACAGAGCTAAGATTCAAATCCAGGCCTGTCTGACTCTGAAAACCAACTGCTGTGTGTGCAGGAGAAAGAAGCTTCTTTATTCATATCAATCAAAATCTCTATGGTGTGTAAGGAAATGACTATTTTAGAGAAACATTTCCAAACTTCTGATGATGGGGGCCTATTTCTGATATCCTCCCTCAAACTCAGAGGGGGTGGCAGGTGAGTGTCTCAGTCTAAGAGTTATGCAGACCATGTTTTAACATAATAGGGCAATTTTTCACATTTACTGTATTTATGTTTGACTATTGTAAACGTTTTTGCTCCTTACCTAAAATAATAAAATCACTGGCCTGGTAAGGAAAATAGTAAATTTGATACACTAACAGAAATAGGCTGCTTTTTTATTCTAAATAATAAGTCCCTAAATTAGAACACTTGGCGTGTGTTTCTTTCCTACCCAAGGGCATGGTGCATCTGATTGCTGTCATTATCCTGCTCTCATGGTGTGACAATTACTTTTCAACAAGATCCTTTGATCTACATTGAGGGAAATCTTACCCTCTAAAGAGGCTATTGTGCCTGACATGTGTTAGGTTTGACCTTTGTAGTGAATGTTCTGGAGGGTCTCAATACTAAGAGGGACTAAATCTTCTGAGCAATTGGTTTCTTTTCATCCAGTGGATGTTGTGAATTATATAACTCACTAGTTTGTCTTTTCGTGTTGGATCTAGAATGTTTAGGGCCAATTTATGACCCATTCATAGGGACTTTCTGGCATGAGCATTTTAACCCTATTCCTTCCATTTATTTTTTTCTGATCTAATTTTTTAAAAATAAAACTTTGTTTTATATCCCCATCCTTGTTTTTCCCTTCTTCTTTTCTTCTTATTTTAAATTAATTCCATGTTGAGTTTTACATACCCTTGTAAGACATCTTAAGTCCTTTCTGGAATGGAGTAGAGCTATAAACAAGCAAACAAATATAATACCTATAGCTATTTTAACATTGATAAGGACATTTGGAATAAAGAAACTCAAGTATTTGGGTTTGAACTGGAAATTAGAGGAATGGTTACAAATAAGTCATATTGTGTCAAATCACAGATTTCTGTTCATGTTCAATCTGATGCCTTATTTCATTCATTCATGTATGCATTCATTCAAATAGTAATTTTTGAGTAATATGCCAGGTATTGAGTATGGTTTTATAGTGGTTTAAAATGGCAAAATATGCACTGTGCTCTCTCTTTTTTTTTTTTTTTTGTCATTTTCCGTGTCCGGCAACGGATCGCAACCCTCAGTGTTGCCCCCGTACCAGACCGGGGACCGGCAAACGGGATTGCAACCCTCGGTGTTGCTCCCGTGCCTCGCTCAGCCAGTGAGCGGGAACCAGTCTGTATGTGGGATCCGAACCTTGGGCAGGAGCGCCGCCGCGCTTCTCAAGCGGCGCACTTATCCAGTGCGCCACCGGGCCGGCCCCGGACTGTGCTCTCTTGATATTTCACATTTGTTAGGGCCCACAGTTACCATGGAATTCCAACTTTGGGACAAAGACTGTCATTATTTGTACTTAACATAATTCCAAACAGACTCAAAAGGCCACAGAATGTTGGAGTAAGAATAGAGTCATATGAAGGCCTTTCAATTGGAAAGTGGAGAAAATCATATCAAAATTTTTAGGTTTATATGTTCAAATACTAATAATACCTAACATTTATTGAGCACTTATGTGCTAAGTATTATTCCAAGTTTGCACATATGAACTCATTTAATCCTGACGACAGCACTGTGAAATTCTTTCTTCTATGAGTTAAAAGCTTAGACTCTGTCATCATATAGACCTGGGTTTGAATCCTTAATCCAACACTTACTAGCTGTGTATCCGTAGGCAATTAGCTAGATTTCTTGAAATCTCGGTTTACCTCTCTGCAAATTGGGATAATAACAGTATCTATATTGTAGAATGGTTATGAGGGTCAAATAAGATACTGTAAATAAAATGCTTATCACTATGCCTGGCAAATAATGAGTGACCTGTACTTAAATATCACCAATAAAAGCAACAATAACAGAAACAACAATAATATAAATAGTATGATGCTATGGGGCAGGAACTTACATGCTCATATGTCTGCCTTATGTGGCTTATGTCTGTGGAAGTGGAAAGATAGAGATTTTGAATACGTTTCTAAGTGCAGCATTTGAAAATATTAAAAAATTAGAAGCCAGTTATATGTCTGACAATAGAGAAATTAATGTGCAACCATTGGAAACAATACATTATTTATTGGCATTCATCTATTCCCAACACAGTGGTCAGAGTAATTCTATTTAATGTAAGTCTGATCCTATACATACACTCCTCTGCTCAAAAACTGCCAATGACTCCCATCTTCCCAAGAATAAAAGCTAAAGGCCATAGAGAGGCTCTCTGACCTTGGTTCCTGCCCCATTCCTCCCACCTCCTCCATTTCAGCCTCACAGGCCTCCTGGCTGTTGCTCAAATCCACCAAGAACATGTGCAACTCAGGTTTTGCCTGGGACACCCCTCCCCACCACCCCTGCTTCATGTATCCACATGGTTCAGCCCCTTTCTTCCCTAAAGTCTCTGTTCAAATTTCATTGTATACAGATGCATCCTTGCTCACCATATATAAATAGCACTCCCCCAACTAAATTTCATATTCTCCTTTTTCAGTTTATTTTCCTCAGTTTCACATTTACCAACTGGTATATTACACATCTACTTGTTTTTTTATTGTCTGTCTCACCAACTAAAATGTAAGTATCTTGGGGGCACAGTGTTGTCTATGATGTTTGTTACTGTCTTCCCAGCACATAGAATGGTGCTTGACACATAGCAGGATCTCAGTAAATATTTCCTAAATGAGTGAACCATAAGAAGAAATGTTTCTGATAGACTGAAGTGGAAATAGCAGGGTGGAAACCTATGCTTAGGCGCCAGACACATTCCTGCTGCAGGGCCTTTGCACTTTCTGTTCCCTCTGTCCAGAATTCCTTCCCGGTTCCTCATGACCACATGATGTGCTTTATCACCGCGACAGGTCCCCATTAATGGTCACTCTACAGATAAGCTTCCCTGAGCACTCCATTTAAAATATACCCCTTTATCTCCATCCCCTTATTCTGCTTTGCCAAACACTTTTCACAATTTGAAAATGTTTGTTTGCCTATTTCTTCCAGTTTTAGCTCCATGAGTGCAGGGACTTTGACTATCTTGCTCATCACTGAATCTTGACAGAAGAGTTGCCATCAACATTTGTTGAGTAAGAGAATGAACAAAAAGATAAGTAAACGAATATACAAAATGGTCCCAATTTTGTTAAAAAATTTTATGTTTATATTTATAATGTTGTATAAGAATTTGCCAAGTGGTAGTAGTAGGATTACAGGTGGTTTTCATTTTGTTTTACATAAGCTTGTGTGTTTTAAACTGTTTTTCAATTAGATCAAATGCAAACAATGTGGCGATATAACCAAGGCACTGATTGTATCAATGGCTCTCCCAGAGACAATTTCAGATGGCGCTCTTTGTCCTTTTGACAGCATCAAGATTTATAATTAGACCAAATAATAAACGTCATTAGAATTGAGAATTTTGTGTCAAAGGGTTTCAGAAAGTAGTGTCAAGCCAACTTTTCTATAACCAAACAAAGTGTAAAGATGGGGAGACTATGTCAAAAATTCTATATAAGGAATATATTGGCCTGAATTTTTGTACTTTTGGGTTTGGGCGTGAACCTGAGTCTGAGGCTACCTTGAAGAAAGTATGACATGGGAGCAAGTAACCTGACCCCACTTTCTTCCTATTCTTCAGTCTCTTGCTGAGGTTCCCCACTGGGCAAGGCCAACTGGAATCCAGAGGGTAGGGAGCCCACTGATGTGATCCATGCAAGTCACCTCCTGGGCACGGAGAATGGTGTAGAAAGGCAGAGTAGGCCAGAAGCTATCCAGAACTAGATGTTGTCTTAGGAGCAGCAGCAATAACTGCTGCCCACATTTACTGAGTGCTTCCTATATACCAGACACTCTGCTAAGCGTGTACAGACATCATTAACATTATGACATAGGTATGTCCATTAGCTCTGTTTTACTAATCAGGAAACTGAAGCATAGACAGGTTAAATACTTTACTTACAAGTAATGGCTGGCTTGCCTATTGTAACATATCATCAGCTTTCTGAAAATTTTGGTGAAAAGATGCTTTTTGGTATATTTTTTGTGGATAATTACTTTAACTGATGTTCTCTAAATTTTAGTCAATTTGGTACTATCTAAACAATTTGGATTTTATCCACATGCTT